CGCCCCACATAAACTGTCTCTGCAGCAGCGCCTCAGCGTGCGAAGCAGAGCCTCCTGCAACCTGCTCATGACATGCACCACTGCCCCACTGCCCGTTGCAGCAGCCGTCCGAGTCAGTCGCACGCAGCATCTGATTCTGTGGCCCTCAGCTCTGGCTGGTAAGTTATAAGGCTAAAGCAAGTTTCGAGATGACTTCTCTCACAGTGCTGAGAAAGCTTCTGCTCATCCCGCTTGCCAAGCAGAGCAGCATTTCGCTGCTCCCTACGCGTCCGCGAACGTGGGCTGACTGCAAAGCTCGTGAATGCTGACTGTCCCCACAAGCGAGGCGGCCAAACAACAGTTTCGGAGGCTCTGCATCTTCAATTGCAACCTGGTCGATCAGCTATCCACGGCCCTGCCTGGAAAGAATCACCAAGCCTCGTCGACATAGAAGCTGAAAGGCATTCGGAGTCGCAGGAAAACTTTCAGCACCTCACAGAGTCTGTCGATGGAGTTCAGATAGTAAGGCTCTGTACATACCGCATCAAGACTGAGCACCGAGCCAGTTTCACGATCTCAAGCCTGAAACAGACCCGCAACGCGTGCTTGGAGCCTGGGCTGCCAACATGGGCAAATGAGTCAGCTCTTGCAAGTCTATATACTCTCTGGAGCGAAGACACATCAAAATGCTTCCGCAGAATCCCCTCAAACACATTCGAGTACCGAACCCTTTCTTCGAAAAGCATCCATCTCCACGAGCACCTGTGGAGAGCGCGCAGACTTTTCTGCGAAGGTATCGCCTAGTTGCAAGAGTTTGGGGACCTGAATGGAGCGAAGGGCTCGGAGTGCAAAGGCCGCGAGCATGTAAGTCAGACCTTCTTTCAGTTTCAGCCCCACAGTCTCGAGGGATGGTCTTCTGGCTCTCACATCTCTCGTCATCTCTTGCGCAGCCCGAACTTCAAACGCAATGCGGCAGACTCAAACTTGAGCCGATTTTGAACGCCTTACATTAAAATCGCGAAGCCAATCATGCCGAAGATGCGGGCACGGCGTAACTCCTTGGACGGAGGCTGCGTCATGCTGACAATGCCTTTGCAGGGAACGCTAGAAAGAGAGCCTGCGATTTTTGTAGGTGAAAATCCTGGCCTGTGTTGGGATTGTCACAAACCGGAATCCTGAAGGTCGTGGTCGCACCAAGGGCAGTGCTGGTGACACTTTGAGCCAAGCCCCCGACTCTTCCGGGCTGCGCAGCACAACTGTTCGATACCTCGGTTTCGTGATGTCATTAGGTTGCCTTTGCCGGCACAGCGACTTCCAACATCCGGGGCGCAGATTGAAAAGGTCGCTGAGGGAGTAAACAGCCTGTTGAGCGTCAGCCAACCGCAACGACTTGCCGCGCTCCGGCTTTCCCAAACCTGGCTCCAAAATCCTGCTTTGTCGTCGTCGTCTTCCTGCCGGTGCCACAGACATGATCGCAGTCAAGCAAGCTTACTTCGTTGCCTGCACAGGGACCAGCACAACGCACATTTGCAGCATCTGCTCCAGCCTCGGCGAAACTGCAGAAACCCAGCCCTGGAAGTTCTGGTCCGAAGAAACCACTCTGGACATGAGCTGGGAAGCTGCTCGCCCCATCGGTCCATGAAGGCCCGCTGCGCCGCGAGACCAGCCTTTCCGAGATGCCAAAAGCATCAGGAAGCGAGTCTCTGAGAGAAGGTCTCCTATCAGAAAACAAGGACGGCTTCCGTAGCGCTTTTTCAAGTCACAAGCTTGGCCTTGAATCTTCGGCTTGAAAAGCAACTATTGTCGGGAGATATGAGGATAGTCCCAAATGCGGCGCGTGTCGCTGTTCCGACTTTTGTGTCATGGTCGTCTGTGTGGCAAGTGTGACTTGAGTGTGACTTGACAAGCATCAGGAGGTCCAAGCGCCCTTCGAACGATGACACACTGCACCACAATGGCCTTTCGAAGTGCGGCAGCAACCCCGTTCCACTCGCAAGTATTGTTACACCGTCAATCGGATGTAAGAGTGCATGTGCATTCCATCAATCCGGTCATGTCAAATACACATTGACCTGCTGCTGCTGATTCGGCAAGTAAAACGGTGCTAGCTGCTCTGCTTTCCGAGTCCACACCATCTTTCCCGGCGCATACTTGCTCAATGAGCCTTCCTCCGGAGTGTACGACTTACCTGCCAAGTCTTGAAAGGTCCAATTCTTGACGGTGATGCTATTGTCCACAGGATATCTGCCTCCGAAGCTAGTATAGAATACGAACATAGAAGTGTCAATGCAACTCTCCCCACTTTCTGGCTGCAAAATAGGATGCTGTGGTGTGGGAGCTCTGCATGTGATGCTGTCAAACGTAACCTCCTTGAGTCCGTACGTTGCAACACAGTTTCCGTACCAGTTTGGGCGCATGATGCCGGGATTCACAGCAGTACAACTCCGGAAGGTCACATTCTCGGGGTTGGCGGTGCCCCCCCAAACCACGTACATGTCATCACCTGTGTTCTCGAAGTAGACCGACTCGACAAGAGCACCTTGCAGATATCCGTGTAGATTGATCGCATCAGCCTGTGCAGTTCTGGAGACAAGGTTTCTCACAAGTAAGTCACGAGTTCCTTGCCAATTTCTAGTCTCTGGAACCCACACGCCTACCTGGGTGGAGCGGACGCCATTTGGCTTGCAGAAACAGCACTCGCTCATCCACTTGTCTGTTTTGCAGTCGTAGTTCCCTGGTATCAGAGCTCCAACCATGGTCTGGTCTTCAGTGAAGAAGAAGTCGTTCAGCCGAACGTTCTCGATCGTTACGGAGACGGAGCCGAAGCCGTCGGAGCCACCGTTGTTCACGGCAGATGCAGCGCAGCTGTTCTCCGCGCAGCCTTTGGTTTCAAAAGCACCACCGCCGCAAAGCGCACCGTTGTCGTTGGGCCGAATTGTGTCGATGCCCTGATAATTCACGTTGCGTACTGTTACGTAGCTGCTGAGAACGAATCCGACCCTCGTCGTGACCATGTCAGCAGCATGACAGTAGACCATGTTGTAATCTGTGACACCTCGTGTTGCAAGAAACAGAGTCTGCTCCTCCCATGTTGGTGGTTTTGCTGGCTGCGACCAATCGTTGGGGTCTCTGGCTCCAAGGATGGATGTCTGCTCGGGGACCAACAGCTGCTCGTCAAGTTCAAAAATACCAGGTGGGAATCTGTAAACCTTCCGGCCACCCTCCACAGCGCATGCAATCTTGGTGGAGGTACTCGGAAGTGACTTCGAGCGTACTTTAAAATCCTGACATATCCCCGCTCGGATCGACGGCCCCCATGAAATATAGGGATAAACCTGACACTGAGGGCAGGGTTCAAGAACCGCATTGACTTGATATCTCCAGATTTTCAGACGGGTGGGCACATCCTCTGCGGCGAAGACGAGGCATGCTTTGAAAAGCAGCTGGAGCAAGCCGAGCACCGCCATGACTCATGCAACAGCTGATCGCTAAAACTTGGGCTGGAGATAGATTCTATGCCCCTGCGAAAACTTGCATGATTCGGCTTCGGCGGATCACTCTGCCACTCGCGAAGGCCTCAATCCGAGTCTGGGTGCAGGCAGCCATGGCAGCCATAGTATGTTGCGGGATGATTTGGGAAGAGTCGAAGAGATTCTCTGCCGGTCTGCGAGAAAATCGGAAACAGCTGAGGGTGTGCAACACAGAGGCCGGCTGGCCATTCATGTCTGGCCTTGCCCTGAAGTTGCTTTGATGTTTGGCGGATCCGAAACTGAGGACAGGCTTTCTGTTGATTGGAGCTGCCACTGCAACACACACACACACACACACACTCACACCAGCGCCAGAGACTGACAGGTGCAGTCAAGTGCAGTCTGTCTTCCAAGTCAGCGGCGGTCAGGTCTTTGGACTGCCATGGCTTCTGGGCATTATCCACAGGGGCAGATTCTGTTGGTGTAGGCCACGCGGGCTTGTGACAATCTGCCCAAGCTGTGAAACAAACGAACCAAACTGTCGAAAAAGCGGTCAAGAAAGCCACTGCGTTGCCGCTAGGCTACGTTGCAAGTGGTTCTATCACGCGCTTTTCTGGATGTGAACCATGACCTGGACATTGACATTGGCCGTGAATGCAAGTCCACAGGTTGCATGAACTGCTAGTTGGCGCCTGTATCGTCTGCTCGATCCAAGACCCGCGACATGAGCTCGCGCACAGTGCGGTCGTACTCCTTGCATGTGCTGCGATTGCTGCAAGGGCGCTCCCTCCATCATGCCACAAACCCAACTGATGCTGGAGCCGGCGAAGCCGTTACACAGGCCAGAGTGAGAGTATCACATCAACCCGACTGAGACCGCACACAGCCACGAGCACCCTGAACAGCAAAGTCAAGAAACATCAGCTGCTGTTGCTGAGGGACCGCTCCGGAACCGCATGCCGACCTCTCGAACGGAAGTAAACCTACGAATGCCACATGCTGCTGCTGCTGCTGCTGCTGATGCTCCTCCTCCTCCTCCTCCTCCTCCTCCTGCTCCTGCTCCTGCTCTCGCTCTCGCTCTCGCTCCCGCTCCTCCTCCTCCCGCTCCTCCTCCTCCTCCTCCTCCTACTACTACTACTACTACTACTACTACTGCTGCTAGTGCTAGTGCTGGTGCTGGTGCTACTGCTACTGCTACTGCTACTGCTAGTGCTACTGCTACTGCTACTGCTACTGCTACTGCTACCACCACCACCCGCTACCACCACTACCCGCTACCACCACTACCTACCACCACCACCACCACCACCACCACGACTTCTGCTACTACTTTTCTACTACTACTACTACTACTACTACGACGACGACGACGACTACTACACTAATACTGCGACGACGACGACAACGACGACTACCACTACTGCTACTGCTGCTATACTAGCACTGCTACCGCTACTACTGCTACTGCTACTGCTACCACTGCCACTGCCACCACTGCCACTGTCACTGCTACTGCTACTCCACTGAGCACCACTACCACTGTGAGCACGACTACCACTGACTACCACTCTGCAACTTCCTTTGTCGGAATTGATTCACATGTCTGAAACAAAACCTGCATGTGATAGGCATATGCAAAGTGTAGTGCAAGAGGCGCTGGGGCAAACTGGGCAACCGTGGCATATTTGGAAACTGCACTGGCCGCTCCTGAATGCCGTTTCGCAGACCCTGTTGCCGAAAGTGCAGCGTTGCTGCGTCCTGCTCAGAGCACGGGAAAGCAGTGTTTGTGTCTGTGTCGCTCGAGGAGCGTCCTGGCCGCACGATTCTGGACGCCAACCCGAAGGTCGTCCTGTGCCGTCCATGCCTTCGCCAGCCGGTGCCTACCAGCTGGCTCATCCCAGATTCCCGACTTCCGCAGGGCGGGAAGTGCACAGGCCTGCAAAGCTCCATCACGTTCTGCTCTTTCCAGCAGAGCTTCGCCGGCTAAGGCAGCCATCACCAGCGATCCTGTTGGTTCGTTGCGCCGGCTCCAGCTCATGTATCTCAAATGAACTAAACTGGACGTGGCCTCACCTTGAATGAAACCTCAGCACGCAAAACGCCGAAAACAAAATTAGTGACGAGATGTCCTCTGGGCCGAGAAGAACCAGCCACCTGCTGCCCTGCCACACGGAACGAAAATGTCAGTGCGGAACGAAGGCGCATTAGTGGCAGCTGTGCACCTTGCGAGACGGGCGGCTCTTCGTGTGGCCTGCAATGCTGAAAGCCATACCAAAGAGACACCGAACTGTCTACGCTGCACTATGAGCTGCTATCAGGAAAATCTTATGGAGGCTGACAGACATGGTTTTTGCTTCGAGATCGTAGCTGGCCTTCTGCATAGCCTTATCGTGGTAAATTCATATCACCTGGAGCCGACATGAAGGCCGAGTAGCCGGGTTAAGTCGCCAGGACGACATGCCAGAACGGCTCCGACCTCCCGAAAATCTGACAACGAAAACCTCTGCGGCTCTACGAACGTTACATTAGCCTCGCTCTGCTGCCACTGAGCCAGTGCTCGGAGACTTTCCAGCTCGCGTCGCAGCTTCCGGTTCTCCAAAGTCTGTGCCGCCGCCTGACTCGCGGGATCGAGGCGGCTGGCTATCGCACGAGAACTCCGAGAGCGACCGGCCGACCTGTGCCGCCACTTCAGCCGAATCTGCCTCCGCCTCCTCCTTTGCCACATCGACAGAATAGATTTCTCAGGAGCCCTGGGCAGTCCGGCACTGTCCTCGGGCTCCAGGCGATCTGAACTGGCACTCGGAGGCGAAGCCATCTCCTACAGGTCGAAGCTTCAAACACTGTAGAACGCCACGTGAGAAAAACTCAACTAGATAGACTTGTTGCAGTCACTGGAGAAAAACGCAGGATGGGCAGCTCAGCGAAGACTGTTGCTGGGTGTTTCAGTTGCCATTGTGTCCGTGAACTGCTATAAATTGCTACGCTGCTGCTGCCGCCGCTGCCACCACCGCGGCTGCTGCTGTTACTGCTAGGGCCACTGCTACTGCTACTGCATGTAACTGCGACTGTTACTGCTGCTGCGACTGCTACTGCTACTGCTGCGACTGCTGCTGCTGCTGCTGCTACTACTACTACTACTACTACCACCACTACACTACCACTACGACTACTACTACTACGACTACTACTACTACTACTACTACTACGACGACGACGACGACGACGACGACTACGACGGCGACGACGAACACGTCGACGACTTCCACGAGTACCACTACCACTACCACTGCCGCTGCCGCTGCCACTCCCACTGCCACTCCCACGGCCACTGCCACTACCATTGCCACTTCCATACCACTACCACTGCCACTGCCGCCGCGACCACTACCAATACGACTAACACTACGACTGCGACAACCACGACTACTAATCCTGCTGCTGCTGCTTCTCCTGGTGCTGTTGCTGATGCTGCTGCTACTGCTGCTGCGACTGCGACTGCGACTGCGACTGCTGCTACTGCTACTGCTGCTGTTGCAACAACAGCAACGACTACTGCTAGTACAATTACTGCAATGGCTGTTCCTACATGTTCCATCAGTTCTTGGAAGGTGTCGTTCTACCAAGCAGTTTGCAGACTTTGACCTTCGGCGACCAATTCAACCAGAGTTTGGGAAGCTGCCTGCTGCCGAGCCAGCTGCGAACATTGACGTTTGGCTCGGTGTTCCCCAGGATGGATTTGATCACCATTTTGAATCTTGGCGCTCGTTTGACGTCTCTGCGCATGCAGGCACGAGAGACTTTATACTGCCTTTATGGTGGAGCCTGAGAGGGACTTGCATTGCTTTCTTGTACCCTCTCCCATCCTGCTGAAGGTTCAACCAGAGCTTGGAGGGCGTCCTACTGCCAAGCAGCTTAAAGACCTTGACCTTTGGCCACAGCTTCGACCAGTGCTTGGAAGAGCGGCTGCTGCCGAGCAGCCTCGAGACTTTGACCTTCGGACACGAGTTCGATCAAAGCCTCGAAGGTCGGAGTGTTTGTTATGTTTAGGGTTTAGGGTTTAGGGTTTAGGGTTTAGGGTTTCTTGAAAGTCAGGTCAAGCAAGGAATGCAGTGCTTTGGCTTGACATGCACTCTGAGCCCCTCGTTCTTTGGCAGCTGCAAGGTGTGGTGCTGCCAAGCAGCTTGCAGACACTGACCTTCGGACAAGACTTCAATCAAGCATTGGCAGGTGGGAGTCAAGACGCAGGGGTTGGAGCCAAAGGTCCTCAAGAGCCACCTTTACGGCGAAACTTAGCAAAGGGACCTTGCTACTAGTATCAACCTCTTAGGGGACCAGCTCTCTTACTTGGGCGGAGAAGCCCGGAGGTGTGATTTGGCCGGACGGCCTGCAGACGCTAACGTTTGGCCGTGGCTTTAGCCGGAGCTTGGAGGGCGTTGCCTTGCCAGCCAGCCTCCAGAGCTTGACCTTTGGCTACTTCCTCATCCAGAACTCGACAGGCGGCCTCGCTAGGGCATTTTTATACTATATTATATTATATTATACTATATTATGTTATATTATAACGGAGTTTCCGTGTACGTTGTTGTACGACCCTTAGACGGCAAACGGGTTCTGAGATGGCTCTGCCGACCGTCGAAGGGCGTGCTCACGCTGCCTTGTAAGGATGCTGTAGAGAAGTCGAAGGCGTGCGTACTGCAGAACTACAGGGCTCTGAATAACTAGCTAAGACTATCCACTGACAATTAGTGAAATGCTGGCAACCATAGCGTTTTGCGATCATGTACCCAAAAGCCCTCTTCTATCTATGAAGGCCCGTGCATTGCAGGAATCCAACTGCCACACGACTGCGCACACTTTCCCTCGGCTCCTTCGCGACTCGGAGCTTAGACTCCCTCACGTGGCCAAGCAACTTGCAAACGTTGACGATTCGTGGCTGTTGCAACCAGAGCTTGGCGGGTGCCAGATTGCCAGAGAGCCCCTAGGCGTAGGTTAGCACATTTTGGCGCGTCGACTTTTCGCGCAGCAGTGGTGTTCAAGCATCTTGCAGTTGGTACCTATGCACGACAGCCATGTAATGTTCGGACCTTGCGTCGGGAAACCTGGTAGACATGGCTGTTTAGAGCTGCCCGAGAAAGCTGAAGGCTTGGAGACACTGACATTCGGCCAAGACTTTGACGAAAGCGTGGACGGCTTGGCGTTGCCGAGCTGCCTGCAGACATTGACCTTCGGACCCGAGTTTGACCAGAGCTTAAGCGGCACCTGGGCTTCGCTCGGGCTGTTGCGGTGAGATATTTAAGTTTGGGCTTCGGCACTCAAGGCTCTGCACTTTTGCCTTCGGTTTTTTGGCACGTTACACGTCAAGAGTGAAGACGTTTAGGGGACCGCCATGCTCAACCCAAGTCTCAACACACGGTGCCGAAGCTTTGGTGTGATTTTGTGGTTCGTCTGGTGGGTAGGGGGTGGGAAGAATCACGTATTTTGAGACATGAGTGCCGTTGCTAGAACTCCGGAAGGTATCATGTCCAAGCTATAGCAGGGAACGAAAAACAAAGGTCACGAGGGAACCCAACCACTCAGCACTCTGCGGTTGTTCCAGAAAAAAGCATGTAATCTACAAGCTTCTGCAAAGTGGCTGCTGTGGGAAGAGTGTTGGCACGTGGTGGGGGTTGTCAACCAGTACATGTGCTTCAGGTATCCGTTGGCCGAGCAGTCTGCGCACATTCTGTCTTGGCCGGGCATTCAACCAGATCTTGGATGACGTCGTACTGCCAAGCAGCCTGAAGAGCTTGACATTTGGAGACAGATTCAACCAGAGCTTGGTAGGCGCAGACTTCCGAAAGCACGATTAAGCACACAGCTCAGGAACACCCCTCTTCTCCTACAGCCATGTATAAGTATACGCAAAAGCTCCTGTGAGCACACTCGTTTACGCTTTCCAGGTGTGGCTTTGCCACAGAGCTTGGAGACCTTGATCTTTGGCCAAGATTTCGACCAGAGTCTGGAAGGAGTGAGGTTTCCAAGCATCCTACAGACGCTGGTTTTTGGCGACCAGTTCAACCAAAGCTTGGCAGGTGCCATGCTACCAGAGGGCCTGCATGTCTTGGTTCTTGGCGACAGATTCAACTGTAGTCTCGAAGGTACCATGCTTCCAGGCTGCCTGGAAGAGTTGAGCTTCGGGTACTTCTTTAACGAAAGCTTGGAGGGAGTCAGGCTGCCGGAAAGCTTGCGGGTCCTGACATTCGGCCACCACTTCGACCAGAGCCTTGATGATATCCTCCTACCAAGCAAGTTGGAGAGATTGACTTTTGGCCAATATTTTGACCAAAGCCTTGAGGGCGTGACTCTGCCAAGCAGCCTGCACACCTTAACTTTTGGCGACTGCTTCAATGAAAGCCTGGCAGCTGTCACTTTGCCTGAGAACTTGCACACATTGAGCTTCGGCGAGCGGTTCAACCAAAGCCTGGAGAACATGGCTTTTCCTAGCAGCCTGCAGACTCTGACGTTTGGCCGCAGGTTCAACCAGAGCCTCTCTGCTGTGACACTGCCGAGTCGCCTGCAGACTTTGACTCTCGGGGCGGACTTTGACCAGAGCTTGGAGGAAGTCTCGCTGCCCAGTGGCCTGCAGAAGCTCTCCTTTGGCCAAGGATTCAAGAGAAGCCTGGAAGCAGCTGCCTTGCTCAGCCAGCTGCAGACCTTGGACTTCCGTGGTCTACAGATTTGCGTCCGAGAGGAATCCATGAGAAGCGACTCTGACTGCTAATGCAGTTGCTCAGAGCAGCTCCGGAACTCGAAAGCCGCCTTTGAAGCACTTGGGGTAGAAGTTGCTGAGCAAAGAATCTCTCAGCTGCCTACCGCCGCAGCACTCCGGCAATGTGAAGGGCAATAGAAGTGACAACGACACAACTCCGAGTCATGAAGAACGGTACATCAAGTATATGTCGTATATGCTACATGCAACAGCAACACCAGTAATGAGACGGTCACCAGCTGTCGTATGAAGCACAATTCCATTACTTGCTGAGTCGCTGGAGTTTGCTCGACCCTGAGTGCAGCCTGCAAGACGGTACGCGATCTAAACAGTCTGAGCAGAATTGCAACACTGAGAATCGTTACGGACTTGGTACTGACAAGGAAAGCCGAAGCCATATCTCATGGTAAGAGAACTACTCATACAAAAGCATGAGACAAGACTGATGTAGGGCTACTTCCACGAGTTTAACAGTTGGGATGTCCATCCTTGTAGAGCCGCAAGCTTCCCTGCTTGATGGAGAGAAATTCACGAACCACGGGCACCCTAAAAGTACTGCTTTAATCTGTTGTCGAGCCCTGTCCTGATTCTTGTGCGAAAGTTGACATGGCAGGTGCAGTCGACACCGTTGTGAGCAGCACCGACACCGTGCCTCAGCCGATCCTCCGTGACATGTCATCCTGTTGCCGGCTATCCGGCAGAAGACTTCGCCCAACGCAGGAAGCACAGCAGCCACACTGAGTTTCTCGTCTTCCGGCCAAGCTTTGTTGACTCGTTAATCGTCACGAAGCCGCATGCGAGAAGTTTTAGACCTTTGTTGCTCAAAAGCCCATGTCCCGCTTACCATCGGCTGCCGCTTCAGCCGAAGAGGTTTTGATAGATCCTTGCAGGTGAAGTCGTTGGCTAGCGAGACCGACTTCGAGTATCGGGGAGAGGCCCCGGGTTTGTTGTTGCTGCTGGGGCTTTGAGGGTTTGGCAGCTTGAGAGTTTGTCTTGTCTGTGAGGTCAGGATGTCTGGTAGTTGTCGGCGAGATGTGCCAAGAGATGTGTCGTATTATGTGCACAAGCAAGCAAGCGAGCGAGCAAGCAGGGAAGCACGCAATCAAGTAAGCCAGCAAGCAAGAAATTAAGTCAGTCAGCCAGTAAGTATGTATGTAGGTAGGAAGGTATAGAAGTTGAGTGAGTGTAAGTTCATAAGCGATTCATTCTTGTCTTTCTGTCTTGTGATAAGCCTGGCTCAGCTCGTTCCAGGACGCAGTCGTGACGGATGACGACGTTCTCCTGACGAATGTTTGCTTGAGGCGGGGCAAGAGACTCCCGCAAAGTAGCCGAAGGCCATGAAAGGTGGATAATCGCGAATGAGCGTAGCATTCTCAGTCTCTTGCAGCAAAAGCGAGGCTCAGCGAAAATACTCCTGCCATGTCACTGCACCCTGAATTGAGGCCATGTTGGACGTATTTGCGTGGATAAGTCACGAAGCGAGTTACGGCACTCCCTGCACTCATCTCGGGGAGTGGCCATGACTCCCAAACCGCAGCAGCTCGAAAAAAATCTCCCTCAAAATTGAAGCGCTTCGGTACAATCTGACGGTCACCCCCGAACCCGCCCTAAACCCTATGTCCCAGTGCACCCTGAAAAACCAACCCCCGAACCCTAAGCTTCCCTGCTACGGAGGCCCATTACCTGCGAGTCCTTCAAGGAGTGCAAGCCCAGCTCTGATTGGAAGCTGGCCGGGCTCCCGAGAATCCGACATCCTCGGGAGCTCAACCTGAAAGGGCCCTTGTATGGAACCCGAAGATGTTTCTAGGATCCTGCTGACAAAGACACCCTTGAGCCTAAACATAGAAGGATCATAGAATGCTAAGTAGTAGATAGAGCCTTACATTAGTAGAACCCATTCGGCCCTAAACAAGGTATCCCTCATTATTCTAAGAAGCCCGAGGGTTGTTCCGCTTGTTCGGCCGCGGTCTTGAACCGTATGGACAAAGTCAGGCGCATCCGTTGTTCAACGCGCAGCGTTCCGACATGTCTACGTTTAAATCCTTCCGTCTTCTTGTCGGTGTGGATGACATGACCTTTCACATTTTGAAGGCACCTGCCCGTTACCTGAAGCATCGGACGAGTTTGGGAGATCTGTTTCACTCCCAAACTATGAGGATGTATACCCGGGACTTTGACACCTTTGCCCATGATCTGTTTCCTCTGTGTGGGAATATTTCGCTTCAGATTGGATCACTGGAAACTTCAGTCCATTGCAAGTGGAAGTTTGTCGAGTCTCACGACTGACCTTTTGCATTGATCTTTGCCATTCTCGAATTTCATTCAGGAGCCCGCGCTAGAAGCACCGTAAGTCACAGGCTTGCGTGTCGAGCAAGAAACTAACACGTAGTTCCATGAAGGTGATAGCATGGACCTTCCAAACCGCAATCTCGGGGTACATTGACTGCAGCTGACTGACAAATAAACATGTCGTAGTCGCGAGCACCATAGAAAGTCAACCTAAATCAAACTCCTTACACGAAAGGCCAAATGGTGGCCAATTTGCAAGAAGCCGTGTGTCTTCTTTGAGTGGATAAGGTCGCGGATGCTGCCACCAAGCCTGGAAATAGCCGAGAGGATTGCAGTCGCTGTCAGGTGATGATGATGATGATGATGACGAATATGATAGTGATTATGGCCATTGTCTTCATGGTTGGTGTGCAGCCGGAATCCTACCGCTGCGTTGTGGAATCTTCTGGTGGGTGATGAAGTTGTGGTACCACTCCTGTAACGACACTGATACTCTTGACATTGCGGATCCTTGCGGATGACTATTTTTGCGGATGCGGTTAGCTCTGTCAGGAATAGTGTCAGAGCAGTATACAGCTACTATTCCAGGCATGGTCAATATTTCTAATTCTGCCACGCCAATGCCAGAGGCTTGGTTTGGGCTTCGGATACAACATGGAGGGTTAATACCAACAACATGAGCAGGACACGATTCCTACAATCACAACGGTAATGCTACTGACGGTGATGATCATGATGGCCGATGCGAGGCTGTTTGCCATGATCTCTGATGCAACAATGTTTTGAGGCTGCAGGTAGATAATATGGACAATGACAATGGTTATGCCAGCGGTATCACAGGTTAAACGCTAGCAGCTGTACGTAGCATCATGCCAGTATAGCATACCTGTCTTGTTCTGCAAGAGCTCGACAGGAGTGCTGCGTACAGCTGATGTGCAAAGACGAGGAGTCTTGCGATTCGACTCAGTACAAGAGCCTTGGCTTTGATTCTAGGAATCCTCACAGAAGAAGCAAAAGGAGCTGGGTCGGCTTCGTTTTGCATGCGTGCCTTGCCGGCCCCACTGACATGGTCCCGTTCTGGAGCTGCCATGGGTGGGTCAAACTTTGTTTGAGGTTCTTGTGTGCAGAGATAGGGTAGACAGATCTTCGGAGAGAGAAGAGGACGCGGGCAACTCCGCCAGAGGTCGCCGTCGTGGCCAACGAGAATCACATGTCTTGTGAGCCAAAGTTGGGCTTGCTGGCCTGTCTAGCTCCGAGCAGCAAGGAACTCTTCTTTAAAGGTTCAAAGGCATTGATTCGTCTATACATTGCAGCTTACAGCATAAAGTATGCGCAGACACAAAAGCGCACACGCGCAAACACACACGCGCGCGGGAGCATCATAGCTGTACATCAAGTAACTTCAAGCTCTCAGTTCGTGTGGAAACCCTTGCATGACCTGTCGAGTTTCAGTGTGTGCTTTTGTCATGTCCATTGTACACCATCATCTGCATGAGGAAGTCCGACGGCTGGGAGACGCTTGTAGGCCGGTCCGGAAAGGTAGGTTGGGTTTTTGAAGGCTTAGGTTTCAAGCGAAGGCCGTTGACTTTCGAGTTGCATTGCGAGTCGTTGTCGGCTGGCAGACGGTGTCTAGAAGGAAACGTGCGCGATTCTTGCCCCCGCCTGTCTTGGAATGTAGCACGAGGTAGCACGGTGGATCGCTGTTGCACCCCGATCCAGTGCAACATGACGGAGTTGTGTGGCTTGGACGGCAAGTCCGATAGATGATAGCTCCAAGCAGAGTTAGGGTTAATGATTCTGTCACAGGCAGGCTTGCATAGACCTGTCAGAGCTCTCTGTGTCTCTCCAAACCCCACATCCGACACCTCGAAAACCCCTAGGCCCGAAACCTCAAGCGATTCGCTCCTAGGTTATCCCATTTTGGCACGCCTAAACCCTATAAGCCTATAAGCTCTAAACCCTGAAACCCAAACCCCTGAGGCCGTAAACTCATGACCTCTGCATCCAGGCCCAGAAGCGGTCCTAAGGAAAGCCTTCAACAGCACAGCCTGAAGAGCGAAACCCTACCCATAGGCTCTTTAGTAGTTCCTTTTTGGGATTACCTTATAGGATCCTAAAATCTAACGGCTCCTTAGTAGATCCTGTTTGGGATTACCTTATACTTATAGGATCCTAAATACAAACCACAAAAAAGGAACTAC